CGGTTTGTCATATTATTACGTTAATGGTCACTTACTCAGAACTACTCGTAAGTAATATTTAATGAAGTATCAACCGATACTCGGGATATGTATTTTTGAATGTAGAAAAACGTAAGAGTTTGATATAATTTTAACAAAATTAAAACTGTTTTTACTACTTCAAATAGAAATATTTTTTTAAGAACTAAACTATAAGTTGAGTAGAATTACACATATGCAGATTCACATGGATAGCCAAGGACATGTGTATGCTACTTTTTGGTCATAATGAAGTGAAACCGACAGTAGCTTATAGAAAATATATAATTTAATAGGAAAATATAAATTAAGATGGAGAACAGGTAAGGTAAAACTTAAAAAATAATAATTTGTATTTCTGATAACAAAACAAAAACTGAAAACAGAAAATAGAAAAAAATATTTAAAAAATATACATTAAAAATAGTATAGGGACATTCTCGAGATCTTTTTTCACTACTTTTGTAATAACTCAAAGAGTGTACGCTACATAACATTACTAAACACCTATTTGATAAAACTCTTAATAACATAAATATTTAATAAACCTGTAATTATTAGGTGTACAACTTTGCTTCCGCCGTTTTTTTCCGAAATTCGAGGCTTTATTGTAAAAAACTGGTTATACATTTATGATTCAAAGTATTTTCCATCGCTGGCCACTACTTTCTCCCATCTTTCGGGCAGCATACGAATCCCGCATTGAAAAAACTGGTCATCTTTTGAAGCGATCCACGAATCGATCCAATTTTTTACTTCTTCATAAGACCGGAAGTGCTGGTCAGCCAGGTCGTGTGCCATTGATCGAAACAAGTGATAGTCCGAGGGAGCAACGTCTGGAGAATACGGCGGGTGGGGTAGAACTTCCCATTTCAACGTTTCGAAGTATGTCTTGACCACTTTCGCAACATGGAGTCTAGCATTGTCGTGCTGTAAAATCACTTTATCATGTCTCTCGTTGTATTGCGGCCGTTTGTCTTTCAATGCTCGGCTCAAACGCATTAATTGCGTTCGATAACTATCTCCTGTGATTGTTTCAGTCGGTTTCAACAACTCATAATGCACTACGCCGATCTGGTCCCACCAAATACAGAGCATGACCTTGGAACCGTGAATATTCGGTTTGGCCGTCGACGTGGAAGCATGGCCGGGATATTCCCATAATTTTCGGCGCTTTGGATTATCGTAATGAACCCATTTTTCGTCCCCAGTCACAATGCGATGCAGAAATCCTTTCCGTCTTTGCCTTGCAAGCAGTTGTTCACAAGCAAACAAACGCCGTTCAACATCTCTCGGCTTCAACTCGTACGGCACCCAATTTCCTTGTTTCTGAATCATTCCCAAGACTTTCAGGCGTTTTGAAATGGCTTGTTGCATCACTCCCAATGATCCTGCCAATTCTTGTTGAGTTTGACACGAGTCTTGATCAAGTAATGCCTCCAATTCTGCATCTTCGAAAACCTTCTCTCTTCCACCGCCATGCCGGTCTTCGACGACAAAATCACCGTTCTTGAAGCGTTGAAACTACTCTCGGCACGTTCTTTCACTAATAGCAGCCTCACCATAGGTATTTGAGAGCATTCGATGAGCCTCAGCCGCAGATTTCTTCATATTAAAGCAGAAAATTAAAACCTCCCGCAAATGACGAGAGTTTGGCTCGTAAGCTGACATGTTTAATCGAGAATAACTTTATGATGCAGACACAAATCGACTAATATTTAGATGGCGTTATGTTTACAAATGCCTAAGCTTATTGTATGACATCTACGATCTATTTATTTTGACTACCACTTACCGCTACAACCATCTATTGCAAAACGGCGGAAGCAAAGTTGTACACCTATGTACTTAAAAAAACTTCGATGAACACATAGTTTGTATGATAAAATAATTACTTTCATGGATGACCCTTTGTTATACAATGCACGAATAAATGATGATGTAATCAATAATAAATTATAAAAATTCATTCAGTTACACAATTAATTAATTCTATATATTACACTAACAAAAATATGTTGATCATAAACAAACAACAGTACATATCACTATCAGTCATTAATTTAAATAAAAATAAACCGTCACTAACGATATTATACTGTCAACGAAAAAGGATAAAACTATTGGGGTTTTTAAAATATTTAAAGGATTACTATTTATTAAACTGAAATTAGACTTAATATTCATCGAAATAATATTTAATTTTAATAAAGGTACGAAAATAAATATTATTTAATTTGTTACATACGCATAACCAGATATCAAGTTTACGGTATAACAATGGTCTAAAGTACTGAATGTTGATACTGTATCATCGGTGGGAATGCAAAATGGGATTTAACATTTATACAGTCTGGAGTCAACCGCTGACTTACAGACAACTTTTTAGGATGTAGTTAATTAAAAGATTAAATTATAGAATGGGTCTTAAGTCATTCGCTGACTTAAAGACCCCTCTCTAGCTAGTAGTTAAATTTAAGTCTTAATTGTTAAATTGAATATATTTTATAAGTAAAATGGATTTTTCTTGCATCTTTCGCTGTCACCAAACGTAATTAACTACATACTGTTTCTATTTAAATAATTGGGTTAATTTTCAAACATAGCCACTATACTCAAGAAACAAAAACCTTCAAATTCAACATTGTATATAATGTATCACGATTAAAGGAGATAAACGTAATTGTTAGGACTAAACCTGTTTTATACAGTGTTAGTAAACTGTTTAAGATTGTTATTAATAATTTTTGTGTTCATAATTATTTTTGTATAAAATGATGTTGTAGTAGTAAAATCTGCTGAGATATGTACTGGCTGTTTTTATTTCATAAAAAGTTTATCAATTGATTGGTCTTTCAAAGAATATTTTTTCCATAAAAGCTTGCGTTCTTCATTAAATGAAAGGGGCAAAAGTATAATGATTGTTTATTTTTCTGTCTATTTGTCTGTTCAAAATATATCTCGACACTTTTAAAGACATTTTTAGAATTACAAAAAATGGTGAAAAAATTAAACCAGTTTGCTTTAGACCACACGACTGAAGAAAAAGTTATTTCGCTCTATCTATGTGTAATAATATATTAGGTATATCCAAATTTTTATATTTGTATAAAACAGACATATATATTATATGTTGTTAAATTATAACCAATAATCACCCTCAAGGCACCTAAATAAAGTGCGCCATTACTGACAATCTGAAACACTTGACACTTATTTTTCCAGCACTGCAAATGCCATAAGGTATCAGTGAACTCAAAAGAATATTTCATGGGTGAAAGGGTCTGGTTTGAGTGACAGTTAAACCTTTATTAAAGGGGCTACTTGGAGGAAAGATGATTTTATGATGTTTTAATTACGTTTCCATATCCTGGTTTATATTATTTAACATTATGCACAACGAAATGCTCTCATTACATTCTGCTTATATCTGGAATTTTACGTTCGAAGAATGAGAACCCTTTCCCAGTAATTTTTTAATAATACGACTATTAATAATGTTATTTCAAAATATGCTTTAAAATGGTGCCATAAAATGAAATTTATGCTCCTCCTGAATGTATATATATTAAGTGTTCTATTTTCAGACATGTGTTACTTAAATAAAACTTTTATCTCGAATAGTTTTAAATTGCAACATTTTCTCAAAAAAAAAAGGTATAATTCAGTATTGTATGTTTTACTTACTTGGAAAGCAAGGTCTCAAAATATGTAAAGGTTTTTTTTATATTTCACATTAAATACGAATAGTTTTGTGAAAGTAAAATTTTTAGGATTCAATTTAGTTTTGTAATGGTTCCATCAAGAACAGTTTGAAGAACAGAACTCTTGCAAAATGTATATTTTGGTTATTTGCCTGTCAAATATATGCTTATTCTTTGTGAACTTTATTAATTTATTATTAAATTTTCAACTGCCTTTAAGAAGTTACATAAAAATACATTTGTAGCATTTACGTAAAGAATCAAATTTTTGCTTTCGCTAATATATGTATCACTAAAATTAAAGTTTGCTAGACTGGATACGTTCTAATGAAGAATTAAACTAGGATCTAAACTTATATAGGTGCTAATAAAAAGCTTTTTTTTTAAAGGAAAATCATTAAGTGAGGGGTCATTGGGGTCATGTCCTGGGAAGGGCAAGAGGAATTGTCAGACTCCTTCTGAATAAAAACTATTTTAATTGTTATTAGTCAGAAGGATTTAGTTGGATGGCTATTTGAGGAGAAAGCTTTATGCTATGCGCCATACGCTCGGGTTTGATGTCCGTGGGTGACGGTCACTACTGCCTATCAAATAGGCCGTCTGCTAGTTTGCCACCTTTGACATAAAAAAAGAAATTATAGTAAATATAAAATGTTGTTATATTTACAATCCAATTTCACTATCTATATTTTTTTTAGAATCTTTCTTTAATAAGCAGAATTTAGTGTTAATAAAAAATTCCTATGTTTTTGATCTCTTTTTGGGCAAACTTCTTAGTTACTGTAGAAATATTTATTCTAATTACTATTTTTAAATCACAATTGATGGAGAAAAATACACCAAGATTATAAATAAAACAGAATTGGGAAAAAATTAAAGTAACGACGTCTTAAATAGTATTTCCACAAAATAATATTTATACTGTAATATTTCCAAAGGTCATGATTTTATTTTAAACGATATTTACATATGTCGAACATTAATTTGACTAATGGTTAGGACATCAATGTAATTGATGCCGTCATAAAATGTTTAATATTCTATTTATTGGAGGTTTTTTACACTATTAATATTGTTTGAATTATTCCAATTTCTTCTGATACAAAGAGAATCAAAGATTATAAATTATTTTAATTTATATTTCTTATTAGTACTGCAAGCGTCAAATTGTTTTCTTTATACAAAAATATTAATAATAATTAAACCAATAAAAATAATAGTATAATTGGAGATGATACAATTGAAGAAGTCAGCAGCTTTAAGTACCTGGGGTCGATACTGTCCAGCCGGAATAAGGTTGGAGATGAGGTGAATGCCAGAATCATGGCTGGCAGTAGATGCTTTTACTCTCTCAGCAAACTTTTCCGATCAAAATATCTTAGAGCAAAATCCAAGCTGTCTATCTATAAGACCATAATACGCCCCGTCACCATCTATGGGTGTGAAGCATGGTCACTAACAGCTTTGGAAACCCAAAAGCTCGCCGTGTTTGAGAGGAAAGTTCTGCGCAAAGTGTTTGGGCCAGTGAAAGACGCAGACGGTGACTACCGTAAACGCATGAATCACGAGCTGGAGGCACTCATGAACCGAGAAAAAATCGTCCAAATCATCAAGTCACAGCGTCTGAGATGGGCTGGGCACGTAGAGAGGATGGGCAAAAACAGGGCACCCAAGATTATGACCGACTGGAAGCCGCAGCAAAGGAGACCTAGAGGAAGGCCGAGAAAGAGATAGTGCGACTGCATCGAAGATGATCTCAAGACTCTGAAATGTTTTATGAACTGGAGAAGGACAGCCAAGGATCGTCGCGCATGGCAGTCTATTGTGGAAGAGGCCAAGACACACAAAGGGTTGTAGCGCCGAAGAAAGTAAGTAAAGTAAGAAAATAATCAATCACTGTGACATTTATTGTTAATATATTTTTATTTTGTGCCCTTTCATATACAATACATTTTTAATATTAGTCTCATCGTTAATATAACGAACGAGTATAATAATATATATCGGGGCTATCAGCTTTAATAACTGATGCAACATGAAAATAGCTTGAGCCTATCATCATTTATTATAAAAATTCAAAGACTGTCTAAAAGGAAAATAGAACTATGTTTGAATCTTGATATAAATATGAGGTCTGGACGCACGACGGCAGAGTTTAGTGAGTGAAGACCATTCAAGAAAGTGATTATGAAGAACCTTCGACAAATACAAGATCAATTGAAGTTTCATTTTAAAATAACATGGAACGCTGGCGTCTCTCTTTAAAAACAACGAATTTGTTATAAACCCGATATATACATAGCTACTTAGCCATGCATTCACGAATAAAAATTTAAATTAAAACATTGATTTAATGTTTACAAAGAAAATTGATAAAATAATGCGTTATATCAGTCCTAGATATAAATTTTAAAGGAACTACATAATATGGAACTATTAATTTTCAGAATATATTAAAATTTTAGTTTATTGAAGTTACTTGTTGAAATTAAACGTATTTATTTTTATGATGTAATATTCTTTACAAACTCTCATACAGTATTGCTTGTTTATAGCTATCAGTTTTCTTTAAATACTGTATCAATGTGTTCTCGGAATGCGTAACAAGTTTATTTTAAATATTTTAGTTAGTCACAACAGTTCAATCTCTATAATATTATAGTTGTTGTGTATTATTATATCATTTTACTGACATTATCAAAAAATAAAAATGATTGTCTCATATCGTTAAGAATTTTATATACATATATAGAGAAAATAATACCAAAAATTATTAATATGTTTATACAAAGAAAAAAAAACAGGCCGGATACTTATTTGCAACCTTTCGTAGCATACATATAACGGTATCAAGATATCATCAATGATACAAAGAAATATATATGTCGTCTCTTTAAACACAAAACCATTATAATCCCAGACATATTAATATTCATGTACATAAGAGAAAATAAATTTGTTGAAAATATTATTATTTATCTCATTTTTGAAGGTAGGAAAGTTAAATTGATTGATTATGCATAATATTTCTGATTAATAATCTCAATATTCAATTAATTTTAGGGAGATTTGTTTTCATCAATCAATTTTATATTATTTCTTATCGAAATTCAAGCAAAAGAAATCCATAAATTATTTTATTACTAGCAAACATCTTATATAAAATAAAATAATAATATAAATACACTCAATAATAAAACTTTTACGTAATTTAAAGACAAAGTTCTCTAGAAGACGTTTGAATATTTTCAAATGACGTTTGAAATCCTTCAGAGCTTCTAACATCACCTGGTTTGAGTTACAGGTGACGTTGAATGTAACTGATTAGTTAGAAGGCCTCGACTTCCTCAAGTTGCTTAAAGTTTCTAGACAGGTAGGTGACATAAATAGATTTAAGTGTAAGTATATAGTTTAAAAACAATAAAATAAGTATCAATTAGTAAAAGTAATCAAAAAGTATTGGTTTTATTCACCTAATGCACAATTTCAAGACTACTTGACTTCAATCTGTCATCACTAGATGATGACAGATTGAAGTAAGTTTTTGACTTCATTAAATAAACGTTGTTAGTTACTTTATTATAGATTTACAAGTTTATAAAATTATAATTTTGATTACTTAAAAGATTGTCAATTTAAGTTACTCATTAAATAAATTTATAAATTCGTTTGTTATACTGGCGTGTTAAATGAATCATTGAACATAACAAATAATACTTTGATATCCGAAATTTTATATAAATTTTGTATAATTAATTATAATTATTCATGACTTTTCGATTAATATAGTTACTTACAAATGAATTTCAAAAGTATTTCTAGTTATTTCAAAAAAATATACACAACGTGTGTGTTGTAGAAATAAATGAGAGATTCATTTGAAATGTCTATTTTATTGCTCGGATGAAAAACATTTTGTATTTATATCACCAAAATTTATTTTATTATGTAAAAATTACAATATTTCTTCTAGAATAAAAAAATAGTTGCCATTAACTAGGCGGGAAGAGCACCCCATATACCAACACTGACTGTCGCTACTGGGTAAAAAATACCACAATAATATTAATGTAAGAACTAGAGTTATTTTATGGATAATTAAATATAACCAACTTTTATATTATATTGTGTTTCATTTTCAATTAAACAAGACAGTTGGAAACTAATAAACGCTTGGTATAATATGTAATATTTGAAATTTTAAAACATAGCCCAAAAGCTCAGCCATTTTGTGTACAAAACGAAATAATTTGCTAGTGTGGCTGGAGGGCTCTTTCCTGTTGTTTATTCGGAATATTATTATTTTGCTCGCCATTACCACCAAGTAAAAGTATTATTTTACTTTTCATAAATATATGTAGGCAGGTTTAAGATGGTAGATTTACACTTAATTTGTGGCAATACAAGATACAACACCTTCAAGTAATCTCTTCTAGGTCTCTTTCGTCACGATTTTCTTTATTAGTCGAACCGTCGAACATCTGTCGAAAGGTATCTAAAACGGCACTGTACAAAATTACTTAGAATAATAAATATTTTCGAAAGTATGCACTATGTGGTAAATTTTACCCGGTAGCGCCTCCCGCTGAGTTAATAATAATGAATATCCAGTTTACATCCCTGTGTAAATATTCCTTAAATATGTATTATATATTCAACCTTTCACCCTTATATGGACAACTATTTGACTATCTAAGAGGGGACTAGGGTCAATGAAAGGTTTGCTTGAGTTGAAAATTACTTCATAGCTAAAGATTAACTAATTAAATCAGTGGCATTATGTTTAGTAAGAGGACTGTTAATAAAAAATGTTTCCTAGTTTTGTGGAGATAAAACAATATGAACTTAAATAATATATATTACAGAATATATGAAAACTTTTAAAATTTTATAGTTGGAAAAATGACAATAGAACTTTCGTTTCAATTGGATTCTTAATTAACATTTTCGCGTGATTAAATTACTTCACGAGGATTCTGAGACATATTCATACATAACTCGTTTTTATTAAATCGAAAATAAAAATATTATAAAATGCGACGGTCCTTTTTGTTTACATAAAAAGATTTTTTACATCTTTTGAAGATTACGCTATAAATGTATTCGTGAAGAGTTCTTACATATACATATAATAAATGGATCAGAACGAAAGTTAAGGATATTTAGAACAGCGACGGCTTTAGTGTAATGATTTAAATTAACTTTGCTTTCCTAACTAATATCGTTATGATAATTTAACTTTCAGTTATTTTTAATCAATCATAAAAATGAAATAATTTACAGTAATGATTGATATATGTCTGATGTTTGCAAATATACAAGCTATATTTAATAAGCATACAATAAAATTTTATGAAAATACTTTTAATTTATTATTCAAATATCTTATAGGTAAATATATGTACTTAAAAGATTGATGGCTAATTTAAAAGGTGATATTTTTATCTTTGATGTTAGTTGTCTTTTATTTTCCATAACCATTTGGTTTAGTAACCAATCTTTGTGCATCTAATCACATGCCACATATGAATCTTTCCATTTCCTACAAAGACAAAATTTTAAACTGGTTCATTATATCCCGATATTAATACATTGAATTATAATAAGTATTCATATGTTAATGGAAATACAATAATTTTGCTCGCCCTGTATATGTTTTTTATCTGAAGAATTACTTATAACAGTAACATAGTTAATTTAATCTATTAAAAAAAAAATGTCTTTTAAGACTTGAAAATAATGTAATGCAACGAAGTCAACACAAACGAAGAGTAAATACAGAACAAAAAAACAAAATATTTTATGTGCCAAACATCATTGCCGATTTCTGACTTATTCAAATATTCCCAAAAACAAAATGTTTTGTTAAAGATAACAATATAGCTGATATCTTTTTAAAAATTAATGTGGAAATAACAATATTATTAATATAAAAACTGTTTATAATATTTATAAGGAAAAACTTAAGAAATATTAGCACACATATATGAATATACATATATATTTATTTAATTTTGTAGTTTATAGGTACTCACTCATTATCTTGTTTGCAATTAAATTATTGCTCCAATACTACATATATATTATTCTTTCTAACTGTCTATAATTTTGTTCACAGAAATGAATCCAAGTAACAATAATTAAAATCGGTGAGATTATTCTTATTACAATAATCAGTAGACGAAAAGAAGTCGTCTCTGAAACCTTAAAATTGATCTCATTGTAGGATCTTCCAAACATAAAATCAATAAAAGTATACTAAATGAAATATAGAATTAACTCACCGCTGTTTTAAACATAAGGTGTATCATGACATTTATCATAACAACAATATCAATTTAGACAATTATTTGTATCACAAAGATCTGTAAATATTTATATATCAGTATTAAGAAAGAACAACAAAAAAATTTACAAATAATACAAATAAGTAACTCACCCGGGGTCCTTATATAGCGTTGATAAAATTACCTTGCTCGGTAAGAACAAAATAGCATCTGCTAAGACACAAACTAATATGACGGTACTTGTTACTCAAAAACTCTTAATCTTTTACATAATTTCCTGGTATTTTAATATTCTCCTTGAAGCTTACATTTCCGATATGACTGAAATAATCTTTCAAAACGTCTCCAATTATTTTTAATCGAAATATCAAGTGAATTATATGTGATATCATGTCAAATACAGTAAGAGTCTTTAAAATGTAAAATACAAATTCCAAAATGAATAAA